CCCCCCCCCCCCCCGAAAATCTGAAGTGCCCCCCTCACCGGGGGAAAATTTCTGAAAGAATGAAAGAAACACTGCACATCGCTGAAAATTGTCATGGCTCGCTTCTCACTTCCTTCCTCCACCAGACTCTCTTCATATCCGCCATAATGGGTAACTACTTAGCCATGCCCCCTAATGCGCTTTTCGCTCGACACTCTTATGGTCTACCGTTAGCGTTGGAGGGGGTGGGTGAAGAAAGAGGTGATCGGGTGTTGCTCTGAGAAGGGGACGAAGTGCAGATCGGAAGGGAGCTTACTACGTTTGGAAAGAGTAAGAGAGGTTTTGTGAGAGGTCATGTGAGAGGTCATGTGAGAGGTCCTGTGAGAGGTCATGTGAGAGGTCATGTGAGAGGTCATGCGAGAGGTCATGTGAGAGGTCATGCGAGAGTTCATGTGAGAGGTCATGTGATAGGTCATGTGAGAGGTCATGTGAGAGGTCATTTGAGAGGTCATGTCATTTTAAAGTAGTATGGGTAACTTGGGTGCGGGTGAGACGATTTTCGGAATGTGACTTGAGTAGGACAATGACCCCATCTGAAAATATGGACGGACACAAGCTGCATGTCATCTTAATTAAAATGGTGTTACTGTCTCCACATGCAACAATTGCCACGAAAAAGTACGACCGTTTTAACCTTATTATAAGTGTAAGACTGTTAAATCAAACCCTGAAAACCAACCTGTCAGGTTAAGATAAAATAAGTTCAGTCCGACAATGACCCCGCCAGTGTTGGTCACGGAACAGTGGCACGTCAGGACCCCCGTCCCGAGAATCCTGAGAAGAAAGGTCCCGGATGAGCCCAGACTTGAAAAGTTCAAAAACCGAACAGTGCCTGACGGAACGGTCAGGTTGACATGACTGATGCCGGTGGCGTCCACGTCCAGTCCGCACGTGATGTTCAAGGAGTTGATGTTGGTGTTTGCTGGGGCTGTTGCAGAATAAGTGCTGCCGTTGGCCACGAGCGTCCCACTGGCACCCCCGATGTGCACTTGCGGTTGAAACTGTTGACCATCTGGTCAGGGAATAATTAAGTCAATGAAAATAGTTTATTTCTTTCCTGAAAGATTTTAATTAATTTTTTTTTTTAATTTTCAAAAAGATTTTTTTTTAAATCATATTTTCAAAATCAAAATAAAATTCTGAAATATCTAATTTAATTTATTTTAAAAATCTTTCTTAATTTCTTTCAAACAGGAATTCATATAGATATAAATAATATGAAATATAAAGATCCAAAAACCATGAAATTTGTTATAGAAAAAAAAACAGTCAAATAAATCAGCAATTAGTTTAAATATTGATTTTAAATCAAACTAAACTAGTTTTTTTTTCTGATCTTACACAAATTATGTGTACAGCAGAAAATTTTTAATAAAGACCAATTTCAAGAAGACCAATATAAGAAAGATTACATATAATACTGAGTATAACAAATTGAACGAGGTTTGAACCTTTCTATTACCCGTCTATTTCATTATATCTAAAAAGGAGTGTGGATGACCATAACGCCAAAGAAACGAAGCGGTTTATTTTAAATGTTTTTGTATTTTAAAATGATATTACTGAAATATTTACTAAAATAAAATCGGATATAATTCATAAGAACCATGAAGGAACTATTTTAACCATTTTAACAGAATTTTAAATTGATGGAAAAAAATATGTTTACTCCAAAATTATGATTGAAGAAATAAGCGTAATCACATTTATCGGGAAATCCCACACATGTGCTTTTTTAGTGCGTTTGAGGGCGTTGTTAATATTGCGAAATAAAATTAAAATTAACTTGTTCTAAATAAACGCGCACATGACGTAACAACGGGAATTACACATTTTACCCAAAGCCCTAAGTTTCTTTGATGTAATAACCGCACGGGAAAAAACTGATAATGTAAGTAATAAGTAATATTAATAAATATAATTGAGTGATTTTTAAATTGTTAATTAAATACAAAAACTTCAGCTTTGCAATTTTAACATTTAATGAATTTATACTTTGATTAATTCCAAAAATGTACATGTGCTTACGTATGGGGCTACAGTCCCGTGGATGATTTGATTAATTTGTATGAAAGTCGTGGGGTGGGATCAATTTATTTATTTTTCCCATGGCAGGACACAAGATACGCCTCAGACTAAATGATTAAATTTGATAGATTAATAACCTTATGTACATACTAGAAAATATTACCCAATGTTATCGAGATAAAAATGGGCAGGCACTTTATTATAATTAGCTTGTACATTTTTTGCGTGGATGATAAAATCTTTGAATCCAATAATATTACAATTGTGAAAAAGAGATGTCATATGCTCTCATCACATATAAATATTTGTATTCCAATTAAGAAAATAAATGGGGTTTGCAAATTGTGGGTATATCTACATAAGTCTACCCATGAATATCAAAACCCAATCATATTACGCAACTGTACCCATGAATGTCAAAACCCAATCATATTACACAACTGTACCCATGAATGTCAAAACCCAATCATATTACACAACTGTACCCATGAATGTCAAAACCCAATCATATTACACACGTGAAATTTAAATTTTGAAAAATTGAGATGGGTTAAGATTTTCTTTAAAAAAATGAAAATGCAATTATGTAGTTACTTTGCGAAAAATAAAGTGGGCTTTATTCTTATGAGATTGATGACATTTCTTCAAAAAAGACACTTAATGCTATTACACACGTGAAAAGGGGTTAAGAGATTCTTCTTTAGATAGAAGCATTATATTTTTTCGATTTTTTAGTAGACAAAGGCAAAAGTTTGTTTGATTTTTTTAAAATGTAGACATGAGTAGGTCAACTTCCGTTAATATTTGCATCAGCCAGGAGCTGTTAGAATAGCAATATCATACCCCCAACCGTTGCAAAGATGCCAGTACATAGATGCAGCAACGAAACATTACCAGAACCAGAATATGGAATTTATTTAAAATGGTATATCTAGTTTGTGATTAAAATATGACATTTTAATTTTCACAATACTTTTTTTTAAACATTTAGTTGAAGATTATGAAACGTATTATGGTAGGCCCATCTTTTAACAATGGAAACACACTTTTACATCTACAGTATTTCTCTAGCGTAGAAATCAGCCGTCAATCAACTCATCTATTGGCAATGATTGTATTATTGTAAATTTAGATTTGGGTAACGCAATGTAATGTTTGCAGGAAAAAAGTGCAGTTTAGGGGTACGAAAAAGGGGTAGGGCAGGCTTTTCATAATATAGTGGAAAAATACTTCTTAAAACATCATTAAAAATAATGTTAGAAATGTGAACATCGTTGCATAGAGACTTCTTTTTTAAAATACGGAATTGTGATGAGTTTTAGCAATAGCAGGTGGAAATTATCGCAAAGTGCCTGCCATTGTTATCACAATAACATCGGGGGGGGGGATGTTTTCTAGTGTTTCAATAATAAACTTACAGATAATAAGAATGAGGTTGAAGGCCAAGAAGATCGAACTGTAAAACATCTGTGTCATGGTCTCAGCCTCCGAAAGTTCAGACAAATATCTTTAACTCTCTTTGAAGAAATGGTCTATTTTTAATAAATCCCAGTCAGTCTGAATGAAATAAACATCGTTATTATATCTTTATATACCTTAATTTATTAGTTTAAAATATTCAAGAGAATTGAAATAACACTTTTTCCCTATAATATCTATCATTTATTTCTCTACAGAATTATGTAAATATTATCCCAAAAAAAAAAGTTATAGATAAAAATGAAATAATTATTGAAATTTTTTTGAAGTATCAAACCACAATATTTAATTTTTATTTTAAAAAAGAGAAGAACTTCTTTAAATTTACTTAAAAGTAAAATAAGACCAAAAAAATAAAATAAAAAATAAGACACTACATAAAGCCAAAATAAGACACTACATAAAGCCAAAATAAGATAATGCATAAAGCCAAAATAAGACAATACATAAAGCCAAAATAAGACAATACATAAAGCCAAAATAAGATAATACATAAAGTCAAAATAAGACAATACATAAAGTAATAATAAGACAATGCATAAAGCCAAAATAAGACAATACATAAAGTCAAAATAAGACAATACATAAAGTCAAAATAAGACAATACATAAAGTCAAAATAAGACAATGCATAAAAGCGAAAATAAGACAATACATAAAGCCAAAATAATGCCATACATAGAAGCTAAAATAAGACAGTGCGGTAACCAAACGGATATCTCAGTGTTAATGATGAACAACAAAAAAGCCCTTTGTATTGGTTACAAACTCACGTCGTCCACCTCACTGCTGAGAAAGTTGCAGCTCAGACACGAATAACCCCCCCATCAACGTCACTTGCATGTATGCGTCATATGTCAAGGCGCCTTGGACGACATTTCCCATGTGCCCCAGCAGTCAATAGATCGAGGCACAAAGTCGGCCAGGTTTTTCCAGGAAGGCACAATCCTACTTTATTTCTGTCGTCTGAGTGACCTTATGCGGTTCAACACGTAGGCAGTTTTGAGCGTCAGGAAAGGAGACGGTGAATGTTCTCTTGAAGTTTTTTTCTGAGTTGCTGCTTAGGACATACTGTATTAGCCACTCAGTTTTAAAAAGAAATTCAAATAGCGAACGAAAATTCTAAGAACACAAAACAACACCACTCATGAAGGAAGTGGCACATATATTACAAAAACTCTTATAAAGAAAAAACAAACTGTATTTGAAGTATATTACCTGAATATATAAGAACACCTATTAGATTGCATACAAATAAATATTCAAAATGTTCAATTCACGGGGCCTAGGATTCAAGAATTTAATTTTTTTTTTATTATGACTCAGCTCTATGGCGCAGTAGTTTGAGTAAGCCAAATACACAATCTTGACCGCCAAGTAATACAAGGTTAAAAAAAAACAACCACATAGTCTCCCAGTTGTATGTCAGGATGAAGTATTTAAGACTTACATTTCCGGTAAAGTGATCAGTTGTCAAAATGAGTTGAACTTCCTGGAGCTGGGCGTGTAAGCTAAGGGTCGCGGTGTTGGTGTCATAGCATGCAGAAAGAGATGTCGACTTAAAAAAAAATAATAACATTTTAACCAACAAGTTAATGAATGACCTTTAATAAAGCATCAAGTTAATGAATTACCTTTAATAAAGCATCAAGTTAATGAATGACCTTTAATAAAGCAACAAGTTAATGAATGACCTTTAATAAAGCATCAAGTTAATGAATTACCTTTAATAAAGCATCAAGTTAATGAATGACCTTTAATAAAGCATCAAGTTAATGAATGACCTTTAATAAAGCATCAAGTTAATGAATGACCTTTAATAAAGCATCAAGTTAATGAATGACCTTTAATAAAGCATCAAGTTAATGAATGACCTTTAATAAAGCATCAAGTTAATGAATGACCTTTAATAAAGCATCAAGTTAATGAATGACCTTTAATAAAGCATCAAGTTAATGAATGACCTTTAATAAAGCATCAAGTTAATGAATGACCTTTAATAAAGCATCAAGTTAATGAATGACCTTTAATAAAGCATCAAGTTAATGAATGACCTTTAATAAAGCATCAAGTTAATGAATGACCTTTAATAAAGCATCAAGTTAATGAATGACCTTTAATAAAGCATCAAGTTAATGAATGACCTTTAATAAAGCATCAAGTTAATGAATGACCTTTAATAAAGCATCAAGTTAATGAATGACCTTTAATAAAGCATCAAGTTAATGAATGACCTTTAATAAAGCATCAAGTTAATGAATGACCTTTAATAAAGCATCAAGTTAATGAATGACCTTTAATAAAGCATCAAGTTAATGAATGACCTTTAATAAAGCATCAAGTTAATGAATGACCTTTAATAAAGCATCAAGTTAATGAATGACCTTTAATAAAGCATCAAGTTAATGAATGACCTTTAATAAAGCATCAAGTTAATGAATGACCTTTAATAAAGCATCAAGTTAATGAATGACCTTTAATAAAGCATCAAGCTAATGAATTACCTTTAATAAAGCATCAAGTTAATGAATGACCTTTAATAAAGCATCAAGCTAATGAATGACCTTTAATAAAGCATCAAGTTAATGAATTACCTTTAATAAAGCAACAAGTTAATGAATGACCTTTAATAAAGCATCAAGAATCACAAAACGAAAATAAAAACTATCAACGCCACCCCCACACCCCTCCCCCCCCCCTTTAAAAAAAATTCAAACTTTATTTTGGGTAAACAAATCAATTCCTGAACATAAGACGGAACAATGAAATAACTCAGCTTGTTTAAGAAATGGTTTAGAAAGCTGAATAAGACGTGTGTTTTTTTGGTTTATACATTGCTATAATAAATAAGACTTCTATTACTTCAAGAAGTCATGAGATGTGCCCACGTGACATTTTTACTGATCTATTTTATGAAGCCATAGCGTCAGATTTATTGCTTCTTCCACCGACTGTGTCTTTGACAGGCACCTTAGTATGAAGCACACGGTAGTATGAAGCACACGTTAGCATGAAGCACACGTTAGTATGAAGCACACGTTAGTATCAAGCATTGACGCCAGATTTGATTTCAATAAAACCTATGATATTCATATCAAAAGAATAATTTTCAGTCTAGTGGAATAGTGACCGGGAAAAGATTGGAGCAGTCAACAACAACAACAACAACAAAAAAAAATAATAATAATTCTTTAAGTCGAAAAACAAGGAATTTTAAGCAAAATAACTATGAGATTAATTTATCAAGCTTTATCAAATTATGAATTTCTGAGAATATCTGTTTGGACTTTGATTTGACTTCATTTGCTGGGATGTTATGATTTGTTTCCTCCGTTTGGGTTAATTGTTTTGTATAAATATATTTTATGGATACGATTAAATTGTTTCTGAGTCGCAAACCCTCTCTATAGCAACCCCACTTTATAGCAACTCCTCTCTATAGCGACCCCTCTTTATAGCAACCCCTCTCTATAACAACAATTTTTTTTATAGCAACCCCTCTCTATTACAACACTTTTTTATAACAACTCCTCTCTATAGCAAACCCTCTCTATAACAACAATTTTTTTTTATAGCAACCCCTCTCTATTACAACACTTTTTTTATAACAACTCCTCTCTATAGCAAACCCTCTCCATAACAACACTTTTTTATAACAACTCCTCTCTATAGCAAACCCTCCCTATAACAATCCCTTTCTATAGCTACCCCGCTGTACAACAACCCATCTCTAAAGCAGCAAGGTGATCCGATCAATAAAACAACTCACAACTTTAAATGGCAAGAGAAAACACAAAGACGGATTGACAGCACCTTAAAATTACTATGTATAATTAGGAAACCGATCCCATTTGAAAATTTAATCAAAAGTTTGATTTTATTTTCCACCTTTAGTTTACTGTTTAAATCAGCGACCTCACGGTCAACCATCCGTGACCCCCGCGGTAAACCATCCGTGACCCCGCGGTAAAACATCCGTGACCCCGCGGTAAACCATCCGTGACCCCGCCGGAAAGCATCTACGACCCTTCAGTAAACCAAACGCGACCCCACAGTGAACCACCCGCGACTCCATTAGGGTTTGTTGAAATGTGTAAGAGCTTTCGCATACCTCTGACATTTTATTTTTATTTTTCACTAGCCAATATACCCGGCGTTGCGTGGGATTGCAACAACTTCTACAGCCTTTTAATTAACATTAAAATCAAGCGCCAATGTAAAAAAAAAAAAAAAAAAAAAAAAAAAAAAAAACCAAAAAAAAAAAAAAAAAAATTAATTTGTTTCCTATAAAAACGCATTCATAAATAACTTTTGTTATCCTTTCGTTTAGTACTCTTCGGTATTTGGATACGGATAATCAAGTCTATGGGTACTTACCTTTGTCAATTTCCATCCATTTATTTAGGAGTATTTATTGGTCATTTTTTTTTTATATAGCCCATTTTAGAAAAAGAAAAAAAAAACGAATTCGGGACCCCCGGCCCCAAAGGAACGTTATAAAAAGTTCATAAGCCCTTAGGACGTCCTTCCGGATAATGATGAATATATGTTGAAAGTTTGATCAAGATCCATCAATCCATGTCAAAGCCTTTGTGGAACAAAGCCGCAAGCAAGCCTTCAAATAAATGTTTACTTTTATATATACAAAAATTTATATAATTCCTTATTAGTAAAGAAGAAGTTTCTCGAGCAATTTTTAGGTCTACTCTAAAGGCATTTCATCAACTATTGTGAAACACTTTATATAATAAAATGAGCTCTGCTGACCATCACAACAAACAAACGAAGCAATTTAAATACATTTGAATTCTTAAAAACAATGATAGTGATTTTTTTTATAAGATTACGGAAATCGAATAAATTTAAATGCGCGAAAAAGTAAAATAAATCCGCTTATATTTAAGTCATTTTTATGTATTATTATCATAAATCACAAATACATCAAGAATATTTTTAAGCATTTTCCTCAGTTTGAAAATTACAATAAAAAAATAAACAAAAACATTATGATCTAAGAATTTCATCTTAGTCACATTAATCGGGGAGACCCAAACCTCAGTCTTTGAGTGAGTAGGTTTTTAAAACATTTTTTGTTTTGTTTTGTGCGTTGTTAATGATGTGAAATAAAATGAAAATCAATTGTTCTCAATAAACATGCAAAGGACGTCAAAATGCCTATTTTAGCCAAAGCTCTAAGTTTCATCTTCTATAAAGTAACATTTATAAATATAATTGATTTTTTTTTTGTTATTGTAAATAAAACCCAAACAATTTAGCTTTGTATTTTTAACATTTAATACGTTTTTACTTTTCGTTCATTCCAAACATGAAAATGCCGTTTAAGTCAATCAGTGCAGTGAAACTCCACAGCCCCATAGCATTCACTAATGCACTTATCACTCATCTAAATCAGAACAAAGCTCATGAAGTGCAAACTGTGTGTGTTTGCGTACGTACGGGGGGCTACAATTCCGTTGTTGTTTTTATTCATTTTATTTAAATCTGGGGGCTGGGGGACCAATACTTTCATTTTTCCCCCAGGCAACACGATATACGCTTCAGAATAAAGGAATGAATCTGATAAATAGTTAACACTCTTCGGTAAAAAAATATATCTGGGGTAGGAAATAGGTTGTGGACATTTTGACATTGATGATAATATCTTTGAATCCTTTGATATTACAGTTGTGAGAAAGAGATGTTACATTCTCTTCCTACACATTCTCTCAAAAAAAAAAACACATGTTCAACAATTAAGAAAATCAATCGCGTTCACAAAACGTGGGTACATGTACATAATGATACCCACGAATATCAAAGCCCAATCATGTTACATACGTGAAAATGTAATTTTGAAAAATGGAGGTGGGTTA